AACCCAGCATGTGGGGTTTCCAGCCCTCCCCTCTGCTCCCACCCCGTTCAGCTGGAAGGAGTGCAGAGCCAGAGCACCTGGACCCCACGGTCTGCACTGCCTTTGTCTCTGCACACTCCCACACGGAGCAGAGGGAAGGCCCAAGGCTGCCCCTACCATCAGCTGACGTCGGCACCAAAACGAAGTAAACAGACCGTGAAGCAGCACCGGGCAGGGAAAGGGCTGAATCCATCCCCTGGGGCATGGAGAACTCTCCAACTTGAGAAAGAGAAGCAAGGAGTAGGGGCTTGGAAGGATGGTCTGTCATAGCCCGAGTTTCCTTGAAAAGTCCATCTGGAGCGTTGCCCCCTCATATGGCCCCTGCGGTACTGCAGGGAACGATCCCAAGACCTGCAAGAAAGCCCTGCCAAGGCTGTGGGTCTTCTTCCTTCTTGTCCTGCATGTCCAGGACACAGAAGGACTCCTCTCCAATTTGCCCTTTTTCAGATCATTTCTGCCACTGTGGACAATAACAAAATGCTCCTGGACATCGATAACAGCAAGATGACCGCTGACGACTTCCGAATGAAGTGAGTGCCCCTCTGTGCACCTTGCATGGCTTTCATATCCCGCTCGTAATCTCTGGACACAAGGCAGCACTGCCCCGAGTGGTGTTGCTGCCTTCTCCTCTTTTACTGGAACACTGACCTGGGAAAGATGTGTGATACTGACTGTTGTCATCCCATGTGCCCTTTTCTCTGTCCCTCTTGTCTGTGCTACAGGTATGAGAACGAGCTGGTCATCCGTCAGACTGTGGAGGCCGATATTAACGGGCTGAGAAATCTCCTGGATGACCTGACTCTGACTAGATCTGCACTGGAATCCGAGCTGGAGTCCCTGAAGGATGAGCTGATTGCTCTTAAGAGAAACCATGAGGAGGTACGACAAAGAGCACGGCCAAGACATAGTCCTTTGATTCTTCAGGGTTCCCAAACTCACATATCAAATCACTTCAGCCTCATGTCACATGACTGTCACTGCTTTGTCCCTCCATACGGCTTTGCCTGCTGTCCCCACCAAATTCGTGACGTGAACTCCTTGTTTCTCCCTTCGGACGCTGCAGGAAATGAGACAGCTGGAGTCCCAAACTGGTGGTGATGTGAGCGTGGAGGTCAACGCTGCCCCGGGCGAAGACTTGACAAAGATCCTGAATGACCTGAGGAATGAGTACGAGCAGATCATTGAGAAGAACCGCAGGGAGGTGGAGCAGTGGTACGAAGTCAAGGTACGTAACCACGCACAAAGTGCAGCCTCCTCCTGTGTGAACAGCCAGAACCCTGGTGTGGGCATGCAGTGCCGCGGCCTCAGAGGGGGAGGCTGCTCTCCTGCCCCTCGCTGGCACTGCTGGGAAAGGGAAGGGAACAGGGGCTGGGAAAGGAATGCAGCAGCCAGGGGGGGGAGGCCAAGTCTGATGCGTGGGGGTGGCTGGAACGTCAGGATCTGTGGAGTGGTGGCCAGGATGGCCTCACAGAGGACAGCATGACAGGGAGAGGCTCCTGGCTGTCCTAGTTCTCAGGCAACAAATCTGCTCTCTGAGGAGCCCTTCTCACTCAGAAAGCGTTTGGGCTTTGATCCCTGCAGATCGAAGAAGTCAATCGGCAGGTCACTTCCAGCAGCCAGGACATCCAGACAAGCAGCCACCAGCTCACCGAGTTGAGGCGCGAAATGCAGAACCTGGAGATCGAGCTGCAGGCGCAGCTCAGCACGGTACGTGAGGCAGGGTGGCCGAGGGCTCTCCCCTCCTCGAGCGGGACAGGGACGGGTAGAGCTCTGCTCCTCACCTCCTGCATTTCCACCACCAGAAAACCTCTCTGGAAAACTCCTTGGCAGAAACCGAATCTCGCTACGGCTGCCTGCTGCAGCAAATCCAAGTGCAGATTAACTCCGTAGAGGAGGAGTTGGCCAGCATCCGCTGCGAAATGGAGAGTCAGAACCAGGAGTACAAGATGCTCCTGGGCATCAAGACCCGCCTGGAACAGGAGATTGCTCAGTACCGGGCCCTGCTGCAGGAGGGACAGCATGACATCAGGTATGTATTCCACTTTTGGGCAAGGGAATAAAAAGTAATCCAGGTGTACTTAACTGCTAATAGGCACCTCTTGTTCACGGAGCTACGTCAACATGTGTTTTGACTGAGTATCCAGTGGTTGGGGGTTTTTGGTAACTTAACTGCTCTGTTTTTTGCAGTGCCTCCCAAGGAGCTTTCCAAGGAGGTGGAAAAGCCTCCCATTCATATTCCTCGACTTCCTACTCTCATACCCAGTGTGGTGACATGACAGGTAAGACAACACCTTGTAAGGATGTGCCTTAGTGGGTTACATCGACCCCAGTGACTACGATAGGATTTGCCAGAAAACAGTTTTTCTGGCAAAAAAACAGCCTGGGTAAGGCTCCCTGGTCCGGCAGCCCAGGGGTGACAGAACCTCACTGACTCTGTCACAGAGGAATCAGGGCTTGAAATACAGTAAGTCTTGCCTTTCTCTCTGCCTAAGCATACAATGCAGATTATAAACTTTAGGGGACGGAATACGCTTTTTTGTTGACTGGAATGAAAAAAGCCCCACAGCTCTGTGAAAGTGCCTAGGGTAGTCCTGCGCTTCCCCCACTGCTCTCCTGCAAACACCGCGTATTAAGTGAAAGAACTCAGTGCGGCAGGACGGATCACCCCTCCCCTTAAGGCAATGACCCACTCTGTCTTTACACAGGACAGCCACGAGTGTGCTAGAGCAATCCTGGTGACGCTCACGTCCTCCGGCTGAGACGCACTGAACACGGACAACGAGAGACCGAACCACTTCTGCAGCACAGGTGCTGCACCTGGAACACTTTGGAAGGAGTGCCTGGTCGCCTGCCTCATCCCCCTCTTCCCTTCTGCAATGCTTGTCTTATGCCACTTGGTCAACTGGTTCTTTGTTTGAGGGCTCAACTGCTGCTGCTAGCACTGCCTCGAATAAAACTTTACTTCTGCAATGCAAACAAACCCAAGGTGTCTGGGAAGTTTCATTTCACAGCTGAATTTGAACAGCTCCTCATCAAGCTAACCAGCCCAACACGGGCTGTCCTGTCATACTCGGTAACCTAGTCTCAGGGCAACCGCTGGCACTAAGCAAATGGACACCGCCCCGAGATAATATCACCGAGTAAAAGGAAACGTCCCCAGTTCTGAGGACGGCTGTACAAAGTGCGGCATCTTCCAAGCTCTGCTACGGGAACGGTCAGGCGGGTGAGGCTGTCAGGACCCTCTGCTCAAGAGCAAGAGGTACAAGGTTGGAAACAAAACCAATTCTTGACACAGATTTTCTCCTTCCTGTGAAATTACAAGCCATTTACCGTTCTGTTTTCTAATGGTCACTAACAGATTGCTCTGTAGCCCCTTGCCTTACTGAAGACACTCTGATTTTAGTGAGAGGAGAAAGAAAATAC